TTAGGGTGCATTCGGCAACCGAGAGCGGCAGATTCTCACCGGATTTCCAGCCACGGATTTCGTCCTCGGCGGCTGGCGCCGAGCCTTCTTCACACTCCGACACTGTCACGGTGGCTACGTGCTTTCGCCACCTCTTATGCGTACCATAACGATAACAGACGACCATTCCACTTTCTCGCATGAAGGCTTTCTGAAGCAGACAATCCCTACTCTGAAATGTTTGTTTCTTAATTTCATCTGCAGAGTCATGTTCTGCCGTGCGTTATGAGTCGGGAAGTACGTGACACTGACTGGCTCTCGCCACTTTGCCTACTAGCTTTGTCTGCCATGTGGCATCGCCCTCCCCTCATCCAGCATACGCTCTGGAGCCCTGATGATACCTTAATCGCGTGCTATAGTGTTCGTGATGAAGATTTGTGTACGAAAACCTCGGTTATACTTACACGGAGCCCTTCCATCCTTGAAGGTGGCAACAAGGTGGCAACCAAGTGGCAACAGCTAGTAAGTAGTACCTCTAGCAAAAGGTCGTGTAATAATAGCAATAAGTCATAATATAGTCGTAAGAGGCAGCTCAAGAGAGATGTCGACAGTGCCTCAGATGTCTTGCTTGCCTCTTCCTCTACATTTTGTCACTGTTGATGTTTGTGGTCCCATAGACTCGAAATCATACTACTGCAAAATTAACAACTGTGCCTTGATAGATCTGTCTTCGAGTGGTCACATCGTAAATATGCATTTATCTCTGAACGAGATGCTACGATTCACTGCGTTGACCGCTTTGTGTGATGAGTGTAGAGCGTCCGTGCTGGACGGTGTAGCCAGTGCAAGTACGAGGTAGAGTAACGTAGCGAGTGTGTAGCGCAATAACGCGCCCACTCCGTGTAGAACGGCTTGTCGCGAACGATGTGGCACATGCAGCACAAGTGATCATAGTCGTTGTGCTACGACGGTTCCTCTTCGCCAACTACGTCCTGCGTGCTCTCCTGTGCGACATGTACTACTCTGTGTTTAGGATTCTGTCTACGTGCTCCGGCAATGTTCATGGTATTCCCTTATATCTTTGAGCGTGATACTCAGGCGCCACAAACCAACCTCGATGATGGCCTCTACTGGCACATCCCAATCCCTGCGCGACTCGGAACGAGCAGCTCGTACTCGACTTCGCCAGAATCAGATACGCGTGTCGAATATACTCAAGTTTTACGACAGAATGCCCTCTCCTCCGAGATCGTATCGTTCTTACCAACGGCATGAGGTCTATGGACCTTCTGACATCCCAGCCTGGTTCTGCTCCTCCATCTGTCTATCACCGCACTCAGGACTCGGCCAAGAAAATAGGAGTCTACTGGCTGGAGAGGTTGAGTGTGAGGTGAAGTTAGTCCGTTTGCCGGTGAGTACATTTCATTTGTTCCGTGACAAGATACCCTGAAGTCTAAGACTGCTTCGGCAGGGCAAGCCCTGCAAAACCTGGGAAGACATCTTCGTCAATGATGACGATCCAGGTTGGCGCATCGCGCTGATGCTCACGGTGGTGTTATCGCCTGATTCTGAGGTACTTGTGTGGTGGCGTCACAGCCCTCCTGCTATTCTCGCCATCTACGACTCGGCTTGGAAGCCTAAGTATGATGACGGACCTTCGTGGTGTCACATGCTCGACTTTAACGAGCAGACGTCGTTTGTACACACTCGATTTGGGATCACCGAGTTGTTCGCGAGGCTAGCGTTGATGCATGATAATATTATAGAGGTGAGTATATTTCCCAGTTGTTCCCCCCACGGTTCTTTTCTGACATATACTACTATTGGTTAGGGTTTATCACAGAACATGCTTCTCTGGGCAAATTCGGTCTCGGTGGGTTCTATATTTTTTTTTATATGGTGTATGTGGTGAGATAATTCTTCTTACTTCGAATTCAGCTCGTTTGCAGTGCCCAGCGTTATCTCGCTAACAGCCTTCCTCAAACACCACCACGCCCATCGGCAGAACTAATAGATGATCACGCTCTGCATATCAATGCGGCCATCGAAGACAGTAGGATCGCCGCCGCCAACTCCGAGGCTGCTAAGTAGAAGTTTCGTTTCCTGTGTATGTAGCAGAGGGGATAAGTTGAATGAGGAATCGGTCCCCGAGACATCTTTATGTGCTAATCACTATGTGCGATGAATGTACCAAGAGCATAGAGAACGAGACATAGAGCGACGACTCAGAGAGAAGGGTACGTTGGGCCACAGTAAGTGACAAGTGTGGCCCTATGCGTGTCCGAGGGGCGGCGTCTTTCGGCACGCGTGCCGTTTCCGATGAGCACGATTTTCTTCTGCTTTCTCCCAGTTTCTCGTTGTCATCAACGTCCTCGACCATGATCTCGCTTATTGCAGAACACAGATACTATTCGGCAGAGGCTGAGTAGCGACGATCCTCAACTCGGTTGCCGCTGTCGCTAATTACTGTGGCGTTACTAAGGTGAGTCTATTCAAGTTGACAGTCACCGTCGTGAGCTAGATTATACCCTAATTGACGAACAGGGTCTAATTGGCAGTGGGGATGGATTCATATATAAGGGGCCTTCTTTCACCCTTTTCCCTACCTCTGTTGCTCTCGACCTCCGTCTAATCAGTGAGTGTTGCGCACATCCATCATCTCTCTCCTTTCTCTTCAGTAAATACAGCATTGGGCAGTCGCACTTCGACATACCCTTTGATTTTCTACCCTTTAGCTCTTTCTACAGTCTTGACATATATTTACACTGACCATACCCATCACTGCTAGATCCTGGCTGCACAAGCATATACAAGCATTGGGCAGTCGCACTTCGACATACCCTTTGCTCTGCCACCCGGATTACACGAACTGCACCAGCTCCTCGACCTCCATTGTCACGTACATACGGACCGAGACCACGCAATCCCTCACGAGCTGCAAGCCATGTCTGATAGGCAGACATATCCGGAGTATACCACCATGTCGAAGTCGGGGTAATAGGACTTGTTATTACTACGAACGGATCACCCGGATGGACGTCGACATGGTTCAGGTTCAATCGAAATCGTAGTCTATACCGTACGTCCATTCCCGTTTTCTCTCTTCTCTCAAGCTCTCCTCATATACGCCCTCCATTCCAGTGGGAAATCAATGTCATCCATATCGGAAACAATATCTAACACTCCTCCTACCTCCGATCTTTCGAATGCCCCGCCCTCGTATGAGTACGAACTCAACTCTCCGGTCTGGACCCGCCTCTCCGTCGAGCTCATTTTTTCAACGCTCCTGTACCTCGCGTTTGCACTGCCCGTCACTGCCCCCCTTCCCCCTATTCCTACGAGATCCACTCCACCTTCACCCTCTCCGTCTTCACTTACGGGCCCAAGTTCACCCAATGACGGCACTGCTGTTCGACACCAACAACACGAGAACCAACACCACGAACAACGCCCGAACAAAGTCACGAATAAAACAAAAACAACATCATCATCACCTCCCAATAACCTCTCGCATAGACCTCCTCCTCCCCTCCTCCGTCCGCTGTCTCGTCTCACCCACAATCTACGCCTCCCTCGTCCTGCACACGCATGCCCAAGCCCTCCCGTTCGGTTCGCTCTTTCTTCCGAAATGACCTGTGTTCGGGCAGTTGGACGTGTTAGTGACCCCTCCGCCGTGGAGCCCCTCCCTCAACCCCTCCTTCAACGCCAAACAGGCACACAAACCCCTCCCCAAATCTCGAATATTCTCCCTCCCCTCCCTTGAATCCACCCTCGACTCCCTAGCCTCCCACGACACCTTCGCACACCTGCAAAACCTCGCTCTCACGCCCGCAGTACATCGTGCCACGCAATATGGGTGTTGGACGCGGAAATGGGTGAGGCCGAGGGCTGTGATGATTTGTCAGGCTGCAGGAGGATGTGGCGCCGGCTCAGGTACCGGGTTGGTCTGAATGCATTAGGGGGAGCAGGAGGGGCAGGAGGAGGTGCAGGAGCGGGTGGAGGAGGGAGAAGAACGTATGGCGGACATACCGAAGTCGCGCCCCTAGCGCTGCCCGTGCTTGCCCACCCGACTGCGCTTCGCCACCATTGTCAACCTCGCGCTCTCATCGACGTTTGTGTCTACATTGACGCCGTCCTGGTACTGCGTGCGGCATCGTAGCCAAGTGTGCCACAGCTAGCACTCACCTGTCTACTCGACGTAACACTGTTGTAGCACAAGTATCATACAACGATGTATATAAAGAACGACCGTCGACAATGAGATTACCTTCCCTCTCTTTGATTGCCCTTGCATGCGTGAGAAAGCATTCGTCTGTGCAAGGACCCACAACCTCTTCTCCAATAGCGGTCCCCATCATTTCTAAGCAGCTCTGTGGTACCCTCTGATGTGCGTACTCTTATTTTTCAATGTTGGCTGGCAGATTCACTAATTCTATTCTTTCATATAGTCACACATTTCGCTCTAGGAAAACCTTCCAGGCCTAGCTGAGCACGTTCTCAAGCTCCCCATGCCCCCGTGCTATTGCAAGTTTCGAGGCTGTAATGGTGCCCAAAGACCTCGTAGTACATGGCGATACCATTATGACAAGGACACCGCTGCTGCTTTGCACCGACCGAGCATGGCTGGTAAGTTGCTGTTTCCATCTGCACACCATGTTGTCCCTAACGTTCTCGTTTCGTAGAATCTGTTCCACCCAGTGAATCTACCCTGCAACCCTCTGATCCTACGACACCCTGCAACGACGGCGTTCATATCTTGCAGAACAACACACTTACACATGATTCCTCTGCATTCGATGCTGTTCCGGACCCGAATTCATTCACCTCCTCGCCGCCTGAAAATACAAACACCGTTTCCCACCGCAGAGAAGAAGCTGAAAATCTTGGCCAGCGTTACATTGACACTATATCGGGGAATCTGGAGTTAGCGGACGACTCTGCTGACATCGGCGATATCGATGAAGATGCCGAAGACGACCCTGCTCTCTACGCTGCCCCTACCTCGAATCAACCAATCGCTTCGACGAGTGAACATGTCTCCTTCGCTGCGATTCCTGCCTTTCAACGCATCGTTCGTAATCCTTCTCAGCCGGACGAGAACAATCCCGATCCGTTCCATACCGATGCTACCCATTCGTCCACGGCCTCCGTTACACGCCACAACACATCGACACCATTCTTCCTCCTCTATCTGCTCGTATCATGGCTCCACACCCATTTCCACCTTCCTTTTGCAGCATGCAACGTTGTTCTACTGGTTGTTGTCAATATTCTTCGGTCTGCTGGTGTCATCATTCCCCCCTACCCAAAGCCATATCAGACACTCGGCTCTGTGACCTCCAATCTCGGCGTAGAACCTGTTTTTCAGACTCTTCCGGTCTGCAGTAGCTGTCTGGAGGTATATCCTACCACTGTATTGCACGATACGCTCTGTTCTCGCTGTTCGCAACCGCTTTTTAAGACTGCTCGCCGGCTCGACCGTCGTGCCACACCCGACGCCACACTTCATCGTCCTTTGCTCCAGTTCCCAATGAAGTCCATTGAGGCCCAGCTTCGAGAAATACTAGAGATACCGGGTATGGAGGATACTGTTGATCACTGGCGGATGAAATCGCGTACACCGGGCGTATATACCGATAACTTCGACGGCAACATCTGCAAGACCATCCCGGGTATCGATCACAGGCCTTTCTTCGAGAACCCTCTACCTTCAGGATGCAGTGAGCTGCGCATAGGCCTTAGTCTGGGTGTGGACTGGTACGCCTATGGCTATCTCTCATAATGTTTGTTTATTGCCTCATCGTTTTCATACAGGTTCTCGTACTTGCGTAGCCAGATCTCCCCATCTCACTCGTCCTGCCCAATGTCGTTCAACATCATCAACTTGCCTCCTCATCTGCGGTACGTTATATTTGATTCCGTTAGATGTGAATGGTTTGGTTTAGTGTTTCTCTTCATTTGTAGGTATCGTGTGGCGAACCTTCTCCTCTCGGGAATTATGCCCGGACCAAAGGAACAAGATCCTGACCAAGTCCAGCGCTTCATTCGTATATTCGTCAATGAGCTCATCCGACTCTGGGAGTCCGGTTTCGTTATGAGCACACCCAAGTATCCGGAGGGGCGTCTTATCAGGGTGATCCTGGTATGTGTCATCTGCGACAAGCCGGCCGCTCACAAGCTAGGGGGCTTTGGCTCGCATAGCCACACATTCTTCTGTACGAAGTGTTGGATCAAGCAGTCAGATAAACGAACCACAGCAGCGTATGAGAAGAACGGTACGTTGTTTTATCATACCGTTTCCGACTTGCTCTCAATTATCGCTCTGTAGCTTTTCCCCGACGTACTCATGAAGAACAAGCCCGCTATGCACAAGAGTATGCACAATGCGCATCTCAGTCAGCTCGTGATGAATTTGTGAAGCACTTCGCATCACGGTGGTGCGAACTCGTACGACTTCCGTACTTTGATCTTTGTCGTATGATCATCATCGATCCTATGCATAATCTTCTTCTTGGTTGGCCATTTCTTCTCAAGCTTACTCCTCTGTTTACTGATCCTCAGTGTGAAAGGTCTCGTCAAGACGCACTTCTACCATGTATGGATACAGCTGAAGGTCCTTCGGAAGACGAAGGAGTTACGCAGACTGCATGACATTCTTTCCGAGGTGTGTCTCTTTGCCAACTTAGGCAGTCATATCTTATCTGATGACGTATAATGGCATTAGTTGAAGATTCCGACATACGTTGGTAGGCTCCCTGCGCTAATGGGCGAGCCTGCTGGTGGTTCTCTCACGGCGGATCAATGGCTGGTGGCGGCTACTGTCGTCCTTCCTCTCGTAGTGCGTCACTTTGAGCATAGCCGTATTCCCCTCTCTTACGAGTAACTATAGATGCCCCAAATCTGGGACGAATACTGCACTGGTGACCCAGAAACAATTCGTCTGCAGCGTTTGGGAGATATCCGAGACGGCATTGAGAAGAGGAAGGCTGAGCAAGCTGCTGCAAGGAAGGCTCGCGCGGAAGCAAAGGCGCAGGAGGCTATGGCAAATGCTCGTCGTACAGGACGCAAACGCAAACGTACTTCGAGATCTCAGGTGAGGATCCTCTATTCATGGAAGCTGATTCAAGGCCAACAGCTGATCCTTTGTTCACGCCATCAAGTGGGTTGATCCGGGCCCTGCTCCAGATGATCCTCAAGCCGTACCTCTAGACTCTGGTGCGGTCGAGGTGGAGGACGATATCTTTGCTGGCCGTGATGACGATGACAACGACGACGGACAATCATCTACCCGTCCTCCCAACCTTCACCCCGATGACCCGACCCACTTTTTGATGCTGTCATCCGCTTTGAAGCTCTTACTTGCCGACGAGATTACTACTGCGGAAATTGAGGAGAGCGACAGACTTCTACGAGAGTACAATGTCAAACTCTTGCATGTAGGTTTCTTTGTGCGGTACGCGTATACTTTGACTCATATCGATCTCTTTCTAGCTTTACGGGCCAGAGGTCATGCGCCCAAATCACCATTACTCAACCCACGTACCCGAATGCATCTATGATTTCGGTCCCTTGCATTGCTTTTGGACCTTTCTATTTGAGCGTATCAATAAGGTACTAAAGAGCTATAATAGCTCAAATCATGCTGGTGGAGAGCTCGAGACGTCCTTCTTTCGAGAGTTCCATCGCACCGTCCAACAGTCACGCGTGGTATGTTTTTAGAATATCAACATAAGTTTGACTTGATATGTACTCATTTGTCAATAGATGGCTACATCTTACCCCGGCGCCAACAGCTTCATTCAGCAAAGTATCAGTCAGATGTATCACGCTACTGCTGATGATCGCGGCACAGTTCAGGCTCTAGCGCGAGAGCTTGATGAGGCCAACAAAGATGGTCAGTGTTCCAGGTTCCGTAGTACCACCATTGATTGTGCTTACTCCCCACCTGACACTACAGGCAACGTTGGATTCCAGCTCTCAACGCGTTCCCTTACAGCTTTCATGAACTCAGATCTCTACGAGGAGGTCTTTTCCCATTTCTCTTTACGTCTCCCCTTCCCTGTTCGTTCCCACATCATGACCGGCGTAGAGGTCCCTATTCTTCCCACTGCGACGTTCTTCGACTATGTTGTCATCAATGAACGTCGGTATTGGGCTTCGACTCGTAACAATGGCGAAGGAAACTCACTTGTTGCTGTTGCAACGAGTTCAACTGAGATATTTGTTGGCCAGCTGACTGAGATATTTGTCCTCCAGCAGAAGAGCATCGGGGGGACTTATCGTTTTGGCCGGGTACGGTGGCTGGTCCCCGCATCAATTGATACCTCACGGAGCGCATGGTCTGGCATCTGGTGCGTTCTCTTGTTTTTGCTGCTTTATCTAACAACTGCACTTATATTATCACATGTATTCAGCACGTCAGATATGCAAGTCAGCCTGTGGAAAGCAAACACGTTCCAAGAGACCAAGACTAACGAGAAATACGCGGAAGACTCGAGTCAGGCCCCGGGAAGCTTCACCAAAGGTCTCCCGACCAAAACTCGTCGAATCGGGGGTAAAATATGCTAAGGGTGCATTCGGCAACCGAGAGCGGTTTGATTTCCGGCGGATTCTCCTGCCAAAACGAAAGAATCTGGATTCTCGGATTTCGTGGCTTCTTCGGCAGCCGTGGTGCCTGCCGACCCCTGCCGCGCACATATTGCGTGACTGATGTGACTCCGGAGTGCTTTGCCACTTCATTCTTCAGTGGCACCTTTGCGCGAGTTCGTCGTCTTGTCGTCGTCGTTTGGCTAGACCACCAATCACTGCGTCTTTTGCTCTGTAGGACTGTGCGCTCTACGCTAGGTCTACGAGGAGTGGAGCAGGAGTAGCACACAAGGTAGCGCAACTTGTCTACCTTTGTTCGACGTCCATCTTTCGACGCGTAGCCATGCTGCACAGTCGGTGCTATCAACAGTAGAACTGCTGTGTCACCGACTGTCTACGCCTCTTAAGTATCCACATCACGACTTGCAAACTCTGTGTAGCACTGTCTGGCCACCCCGGGTAGGAAGGCCATGGTTGTGCTCACGAATTGATCCCGATCTATCTTGAGAACACGTATTCGGGACCTATTTAGATCATTCAGACTCGCATGCTTTGATCATGTAGATAAGATTGCTGTGGTAGTAATAAAATGATCTGACACCCTGACACAGCCATATCTACAGACAATGAGACGGATATAACTGGAGTAAATGGCGCTACATGGCCACTGGCAGGCAGGAAAACCCTGCAGGCTTGTGCAAGCGAGCTAGAAGGCACAGGCACACTTGTTCACTTGTTCTCCATATTCTTCGGAAAGCCCAATATTTGTCTCGAACAAGAAGACAAATAAAATGAGCCGGGGCACGTGTCTCCAACATCTTTGAGCTTCAATATGCAAAACATGCCGCATATTGCGGAAGGAGTAGCCAGGCAACAACCGTTCAGATAGCGGTACAAGGTGGGGTGTGCCTAGAGAAGAGAGAATATAAAATGCTCAGGTCAGTTTGCAGAAGGCCGCCACTGGTAGATCACCTCGAACGACCATGACCGACTCGACTAGCTATACTGGCATACCTCTGTCTGGATCGGACAACTATACCGCACTATCCGGCAGTGAGGAGACTTATTCCATGCCAACCGGCACTCAATATGACACCTCTGGCACCTCCCAACAAGCCGCCCAGCTAGCAAACCATCATGTCCGTTGATTACTGATAACCTATCCTCTGTCAATGCCCAAACTGACGACATAACGTAGGGTACTGGAATCGTACCTCAAAACTACGGTTTTGGTCAGTACATGCTGACGCCTCAGTCAAATACAGGCCAGATGCACCAGGCAGTACATCATGTGCGTGTTCTTCCGATCACCTTCACAAAATATCTCAGCCGCTCATTTTTGAGTTACTTCTGAATAGAACGGCATGGCGGGATACGCACCTATGCAGGAAGGTTATACGAACTGGAATCTACCTCCATCGAACCAGATAATTCCACCCGCTCAGAACTTCCTTCCGCCTCTCGGCCAGACCCTCATCTCAACAACGGAACTTACACGGTTGCAGGACAATTTCTCGAGCACGATGGAGAAGGTGAACGTGGCGATCAATAGGCTAGAGAAGTTGGAGGCCGATGTAATCGCACTGAAGCAGAAGGATTCGGAAGTTGGTAAGGCTCGGAAGGGGAAAAAGAGTGGAGAGGGCGATGCAGACGGACCTCGACCTTCGACAGAGGCAGAGGTTAGTACAAAAGTCATACTCGATCATTGATATATTCTTACCGCTGAACGTTCAGAATTTTGTACAAGCCAAGTTTCAGTCTGCTGTCGGTATCAGCAACCCTGTGGGCAGAGGTAAGAAGTGGGCCATACCACCACCTCTTGAAGCGGACGACGCACCACGCATGAACGCAACGGGTACCACTCGTCTCTGGAATCCGGACTGGAGACAGTCGTCGACTACGTCGACGAACCAGGAGTTCATTGATCATTTAGTGGAGTTGCTTCTGTCGGAGGAAGAACATAAGGATGAGGATAAGGTCAGTCGTTTCCACTCAGTATCCTAGATATCATTGCTGACGAACCATCAGCGTTTACTTTCGAACTTGCCATCAGGAAAGTGTAAGAAGATGGTGACCACCTACTTCAACAACACCGCACGGCGTTGGAAGAGTGAGAACTTTGAGGCGAGTGGTGAGAAGGCGAAGGCAAATGAAGCACGTACTCGTCGTCAACTCCGTAAGAAGCGGGTTCGTCCATTCAGAACGCTTCTTTGACTTCTCTATCTGACGTCTGTGGCATCTGCATCGTATAGGCTGCTACAAAAATGCGTCAGGGAGCCCAAGTTCTTGCGGAGAAGCTGGGTGATACCGCGTGTGTTGGCATTGACGAACTTATACATACGGAGTGGATGGACTCACAGCATAGTACATCCGGTGAAGCTAATGACGAGGAGTGGGAGAATCGCAGGGTGGCAATGGGCGGAGGGGCAAATCAGAAGGGTATAGAATTGCGACAAAAGGAATGGGTCTCGCCTTGGGTGTGTATGCTCTAATTCACCTTCCTCGTCTACCTCGTTCTGACATGGCCAAAAGTTACGGAAGCTATGGGGATACATGCTTTCCGTTGCCCGTGAGGCAGATGAACAAGCAAAAGCTAGACCAGCAAGCAATCAGGAGCTCATGAGATTTCGTGGGCCTTCTGCTAATAGTAACACAAGTGCACCACCGATGGCGACGAACCTCAAGCCTTGCCGTAACTGTGTTCGCGACTCCTGGGCAGAAGCTCATCCCCACCACGTCTTCCCCAGCGCTAACACGACACATACAGCGATGCAGATAGATGTCGCGATGGCCGTTCTTGATCCTCGGTATGTGGCATACTATGAGTGTGATGCGGATGATGAGGGTGAAGTAATGTAGGCTAGGCAGAGGATGCGGGTACTTAGAAGGTGTTAATGACCAAAATAGATATACTGCAACGATCTCACCAGTCTTAGCAGCGTCGCCCTTTCTGTGAATGAAAATTGTTAGATGTAGTAACGGACTGTGCAACGAACACAAAATGACATACCGTCCTGAGTGTAATTGTGGCCCAACACGCAATATCTTCGACAATGGTGCTCGACACGACGACATGGCTGAGAATATCTTCCAAGTTGATGAGTCGGCTCGGTCCCTCTGAACGTTTGAGCGTCTACGATAGAGAGCATGTCTTCGATGGCACCTTCTGGTCGCCAACTTTCCACAACTTTCTCTGAGTCTCGACGTCTTAAATAGCCTTTTGTTCGCCTCGGGACTCGGTACTAGGCAGACGCTTTCCTCGTCGTCCGAACTTTACTATCTTCGCTTTCACTTTGCTGTGTCATGCATTTCCGTCCGCATCTGCACTCGCTCAGACTCATTCGTCCCATCTAGAGTCTCAGGCCATCAATCACTACCCCGGCTCCCCGAACTTTTTCCCTCAGGCTAGTCCGAGCAAGTCCACGCAACTCACGACCTCGACTCAGACGCTCGTGCTAGAGTTTTTGATTGGCTCCTATGGGCCGCCTGCTTCCGGTACCGTCCATTCTCCGTCCAAGTTCTCATCCTCGAATCAATCCTATCTCTATGGTTTCCTCACATTCGCTCTTCTTCCACGGTTGAAGATGCGAAGTGAAGAATCAAACTCGCTAGTATTACTCTTATTGCAGCTGTTGACCTTTTAGTACATCACTGTGGTACAATTGTGGCTCACATGAACATGTATCAAGTTTACCTTCATTTCCCTTCGTGCGCTTGAACTTTGGTCTATCGTGATCAGGCTCAGATGCAGCTCGCGTTCGCTTGGTCAAACAAAAGAAAAGGTTCAAGACCTCACCATGGTGATTGCTGAAAGAGAGGGAGCAAATATGCTCCAATTATAGAGAAACTTGGAGGGATAACAACCGAACACATACAACACACCAAGACAACGAAAGCAAAATGCAAACGATGAGCGAAACAAAGCGGCCTTGACCATCTACCATCTGAACAACAAAGAGCGTCGTGAAGCTTCAGCACAAAAAGTTAGCGGTGAGAGAGCGCAGACTGGTGACGCACCCAGAGGACACTAGTCGAAGTCAGTTATAAAGTACCACAACGGCTGCTCCTCTTCCGGCAAACACAATTCCTTCCTCAAGAGGTCAAGCACCTCCTTCGTATCCTGATCGTCCAGCTCGCGATCCTCCTTCGCATAGTTATCCCACAGCGTAACGATGGTGTCATACTTCACATGCGCAGGCGTGAAGAAGTTTAGTCGCACACGGGTGACCCATGTGAGGTGACGTTCAACAGCAAACATGCCACGGTTGATGTAAATAGCTCGGTATTGCCTGTTTTTGCAAGCGTCCAGCTTCTCGTTCGTGAGCAGTTCGACCCTTTTGGCGTAGGCTATCAGGTCGTCAATCGTTGTGCCAAAGCCAAATGCCACTTTGACGGGTCCTCGATACCAGGCCTTGCGCATCGCCTTGTGGTCCACAGTGAGAGCAGGATGCAACTGCTCCATCGGCGCCCTCTCCGCGCAATATGCTTTGTAGGTCTGCACGCAGTCAATGTTCGAGCTCGGAGAGAACCAAGATAAGAAGATACCTCTTCATCAATTCCACTGTCGTCAGAGCTTACTGAGCTGCTGGAGGCATCCGATTTATCGATGAAGTCTGCGTTTGGTCTGCGTTGTCGCCATCGTCAGACATTATTAGGGAATATGTAAGGTCGCCCAACGAGAGCAAGGGAGAAGAGTCAGAAGTGTGGCGGACATGACCGTGACGGCGCTCATACTCAAGTTACATAACTGCGCTTTGTCCGTAACCTTGCCGCCACAGCACAAAGGTTGGCACGCAGGCATGGCAACCTCGATCCCTTTTCGAACAAGTATATAAGGCCCTCGCGGATACACTCAAGCCTTTCATTCCCCCCTGCCGCCCTTTTCTCTCTGCTACCCTCTCCTCCCTTCTCTCAATCTCTCAACGAGTTCCAGAGTTCCAGATGGCGCCACACTGTTACGCCACACCAAACCACGCGGCATAAGTAGTTCGCAACTTGCAATTGACAATTGGACACATCGCGCACATGGTTTCCACGCGATGCCGCGGCAGATCCATCGATCCGGTTGCTGAATCTGATATCCGACGCTCGCCGATAATGAAGACGTTCAAGTTGAACTTTCCTCTGCTAGTGGGTGCTCCCCTCTGCATACAGTGCGTGCTCCTCTTAACGACATCTGCGTCGTTCTGCTCTATGTCGGTGGTGGCACTCTGCTTGACGTGCGACGGGCTGAGAGGACTTGGTGGAGGCGGTGGAGCGGCTCTGGGCCTAGTGCGAGCCGCGTTACTGGAAAACGCATTGTCTTCCCAATTGGGACATCCTCTTGAGCTTGCCTTTTCCTATGCGTTTTCCTGTACCCGAATTTCTCCGCCGCGGCATATCGATACCTATCGATTTGATCGCGAAGCTTCCATTCCGCATCCGGCGCTCCACCTCGTACCGTCCAGACTTCTTTCCCTGACACAAGCCCACAAAATCCCGCCCCACGCGCTTCTTTTTGCGTTTATTCACACCAGAGGCCGAATTGGGACGTCCTGTTTATCCTCTCATCATCTAGAAGGCGACGGAATGCGATACCGCCCTGCCTCGAGGCGGTCTGCTGGGGGCGGTTTCTAAGGGTTTCGTTTTCCCGGTTCTTTTCTCCGGTGTCTCGTTGGGTTTTCCGGACTCTGGAAAGGTATATAAGGAGCCCCTCCGAGGGCATTGGGGGACAGGCATTGGTTGACTTTCGACCACTTGCATCCCCTCGCACTTTCCCCTCCCACTTTTTCCCTCCTTGCCTCCACACGAGCTCGCTGTGGTCGACGCTGTCGACGTTGGTGTCGGCGATGTTGGTGAGTCTTCCCTCGCTCGTCGTCGTCGTTGCTCCCTTCGCTCGTCACTGATACCTTTCACTCTTTGCCACGTCAGCGTCGTCGTCGTCGTCGTCGTCGTCGCCCTCGCCCTCGCCGTCAACATCGTCGACGTCGACGGCCCCTCCCTCTTAGGTGCGTCCTCTTCTCTGCCATCATCGTCATCATCGTCGTCGCCGTTGCTGACATACCCTCCTAGCTGTCGTCAATACCATCATCGTCGTCGACGTTGTCGACCCTCCCCCCTTACAGGTGCGTCCCCGTCCTCTCTATCATCGCCATCATCATTGCTGACCTCACCTTCTTCTCGACGATCAGGTACACGTCTTTATCGGTCCATCAGGTGCCTTTCCTTTTTGGGATGTTCGTTCGTGAGTGGGTATATATTGGCTTGGTCGTTCCACCGTTCGCTCTTTTCTTCGTCCCCCACTTCGCTTATCTTCCCTCATCGTCGCCCATCGTGGTCCGTCATCATCGCCGACCCTTACCTACCTCATAGACCTTACCTACCTTCACCCATCTTCGCCTACCTTTGCCCACCCTCACCCACCTCCACCCACCTTCACCTATTCTCGCCTTCTCTCACCTACCCCCACCACCTTCACTCATCCACACCGACCTTCACCCACCCCTCTCACCCACCCTCCCCATCTTACTTAGTATGTAGTACGTCACTGACCTTGTGTGATCTCTCGCGACACTTCTCTGCTTTGGGCGACACTCTAGCTTAGGCGACACTCTTTCGCTTCATTCGTTATACTTTGTTCCTTTGTCGTTACTCTCTCCACACACCTACTAACCCACCCATCCGCCCACCCTTCGACATCGTCATTCGCCTCGACCCTTCCGTACTATATCCTTCCTTCTTTCCTCTTCGTCATCTTCCTCCCTTCTGACCTTCCACTTCGTCTCAGTCTGTCTCTTCGTGTGTAAGTATTCTCCCCTCTACGGCGGCACATCTCAGCTTGGGCAGCACACTTCAGCTTAGGCGGCTTCTACCTTCTCTCTTCTTCCATCTCGCTGACTCATCGCCACTTAGATTCATCCCTTCCGTCATTATATATAGGTACGTCGTCTCTCCGCTTGGTCGACCCTCGGCTTGGCGATGCTCTTCAGCTTAGGCGACTTCTCTTTCCTCTCCCTCCTCTCTTCTCCTTCCTCCTCTATCATCGACTCGTACATAAGTTAAGGTCGCTCTTGGTTATGGGGTCTAAGTCTAGATATATTGTGTGATATAGAGGTGCGTATAGTCGTAGATAATATAATGCATGGTCTCCTTCAGGTGCGTCATATGTAAGAGCTTGGTCCTGGTCTTGGTCTCGGTCTCATCTTAGGCAACATCCACCGCCCATCGTCCTCCCTTCCCATATTTGTCTCTCGTCTCTCGTCTCTGTGTCAGTGTTTCTTTTCAAGGTGGGTCCCCCTGGGTAGAGCGTCGACCTTGTCGTGGTCCAGGGGCTCAGTACCTCTTCGGAGGGAAGCCAACAGACGCTCGCAAGGTGCGTTTCTTTTCTATCCCGTGTCGCTGATTTTCTCTAGAGCCTCTTACAGGAGTGGAATCTGACACGAAACTCATGCATGTCCGCGGGGAACATGTATTGATCTGTGAGTTTTTCCTTTCGATACACCTATCCTAGTGACCACGCTGACTTTCTCCTCAGTTGCCCTACAGGTGTGTGAATGTGTGAATGTAAGAGATTGGCATCGACCTGCCTCAACAGCAGCGCCCTCGATGCAACCTCGACACCGAGCTCCAACGAGCTTCAAGACCGGTCCCCTTGGCAGAGCGTTGACCTTGTCGTGGTCAAGGGGCTCAGTACCTCTTCGGAGGGAAGCCAACAGACGCTCGCAAGGTACGTCTCTTTCTTTATATTATTTCACTGACTTTTTTAGATTGTTTTAGAGGCGTGTCAGGTTGTGGTGAGTCTCCGTTACTTTGTCTCGCTCGCGTAGATTTTCTTTTTACTGATGTATTGTGTTTAGTTTTTGTTAAAGGTACGTGAGTGTGAGTGGGAGAAAAGGTACGTGCGGCGCTCTGCTTGCGAAAGCAGCATCGTCCTTCCCCTTGGTAGAGCGTCGACCTTGTCGTGGTCAGGGGGCTCAGTACCTTCTCTGAGGGAAGCTAACAGACGCTCGGAAGGTACGTCTCTCCTCGTTCTATGTCGCTGATTTTTTTAGATTCTCTTAGAGCAGTTGCTTTCGACACGAAACTCAAGATTTCCACGAGGAATATGTATTGATCGGTGAGTCTTCCATTTCAATGCGCGCGTACTCATGACCACGCTGACTTCCTCCTCAGTTTTGCTGCAGCTGTGTGACTGTGTGAATGTGAGAGAACGGCGTCGACCTGCATTCAACAGCAGCGCCCTCTACACAACCTCGACACCGCGCTCCAACGAGCTTGAAGACCGGTCCCCTGGGATAGCGTCGACCTTGTCGTGGTCCAGGGGCTCTAGTACCTCGGAGTCCGATCCTCTGAGGGAAGCCAACAGACGCTTACTAACAGGTGAGTGGGTCGCGCTTTGGCCTACATTTTTTTCCTGACCCGTTCTGTTCAGTTTTATTTCAGGCCAATGCGTGCCAGTAAGCTCAAGACGATCGACGCCCTGATTTTCAACACCCGGGCATGACGACGGGTCCGGTCGACGACTCCAATCAAGCACGACATCAACGTGCGGTGGTCTCTGGGTAATCTTGGGCTGGGGCGTCTTGGGCTGGGTTTCTAGGTGTGTTGGTTCTCTTCGTCTACTGGGTCCTTTCGTCTGCTGAGTCTCTTCGTCTGCTTGGCCTCTTTGTTTGCTAGGTCTTGTAGGCTTGATCTCTACGCTGCTGGGTCTCGTGGGCTTGCTCCCTAAGTTTCTGCGCTGAGGCTGGGTTGGCTAGAGCTAGGCGACACCGACATCAACCTCATGACCGAGCTCAAGCACCGACATCGCTCACGACCGAAAGCACGACATCGACATCGCTCACGACCGAGCTCAAGCACGACCTCAACCTCGACCTCACGAACGAGCTCAAGCACGACATCGACACCGAGCTCCAAGCGCTTCAAGACCGGTCCCCTGGGATAGCGTCGACCTTGTCGTGGTCCAGGGGCTCTAGTACCTCGGAGTCCGATCCTCCGAGGGAAGCCAACTGACGCTACTAACCGGTGAGTGGATCAGCACCTCGATTCACATATCTATTCTAACGCGTTTTGTCAGTTTTTTTTTACAGGTGCGTGAGTGTGAGTAAGACGCCCTCAAGCACAAGACGCTCGACGCTCTGATCATCGGCATTATCGTCTTCAACGGGGCCTCCCCTGGGTGAGCGTCGACCTTGCCGTGGTCCAGGGGCTTAGGTTCCCCGGAGTCCGATCCTCTGGGGACAACTAACAGACGCTCGCAGAATAGGCAGTATATTAACCTGTGAGTTTTTGTTCTCCTCGATGCGTATACACCGCCCTGACCACTCATTGCAGCTTTGACAGGTGTGGGTGTCGTAAGGTTCCTCAGTCATTGGGTCGGCGCTCTCGGCGCCTGTGGCGGCACTTCTCTTGGGCAACACTCTGAAGCTCTGACGACCTCTTCCTCACCCGTTACTCTCTTCGCCCACCCACTCACCCACTATCGCTCTTTCTCTTGAACCCGAGCTTAGGAGACATCCGCTTTCTCCCCCTTTCACACCCGCGTTTTTCTTTTCGCTCTCGCTTTCATCTTGACACTATTGGGCACTCTCTATCTCTTTCTCTCCGGGTCTGTGCTTGTCTCAAGTCTTCAGCTTGATCCCCTCCCCTGGTGTGGCGTCGACCTTGTCGTGGTCCGGGGGCTCTAATACCTCGGAGTTCGATCCTCTGAGCGAAGCCAACAGACGTCTACTAACAGATGAGTCTTCGTGTTCTTCGATACACATATTTCTCCTGACCAGTCTTGCGCAGTTTTGTTTCAGGTGCACGAGTGTGAGTCCGGTAAGCTCAAAACGACCGACGCCCTGATTATCAACACTCGGGCACGACGTTGAGTCTGATCGACGACTCCTATTAAAGCACGACATCAACACCCGACGGTGGAATCTAAGGTATCTTGGGCTGGGTTTGTAGGTCTTCTGTCTCTTTGGATATGCTGGGTCTCTTCGTCTGCTAGGTCTCGTCGGCTTGGTTTCTAGGTTGCTGGGCTTGGGCTGGTCTCGCTGGAGCTAGGCGACATCGACAGCGACCTCACGAGCGAGATCAAGCACGACTTCGACATCGAACTCACGACCTCGCCCAAGCACGACTTCGACGTCAACACCGACCTCACGAACTAGATCAAGCACGACATCGACACCGGGCCCCAATAGCCTCAAGACCGGTCCCCTGGGAAAGCGTCGACCTTGTCGTGGTCCAGGGGCTTTAGTACCTCAGAGTCCAATTCTCTGGGGGAAACTAACAGACGCTCGCAAGGTACGTTTCCTCTTAATGCTATGTCGCTGATTTTCTTCTAGATTCTCTTGCAGGAGTGGAGTCCGATACGAAACTCACAGATGCCCGCGAGGAACATGTATTGATTGGTGAGTCTTACCTTTTGATACTACGCGTATATAAGTGACCACGCTAACTTTTTCCTCACTTTTTTCACAGCTGTGTGAATGTGTGATTGTGAGAGAACGGCGTCGACCTGCTGTCAACAGCAGCGCCCTCGACACAACCTCAACACTGAGGTCAACGATCGACGTAAGTAATACATGCTCACAAGGCAGGGATACGAAATTGTGAGTTCCTTCTCTTTGTATGCGCGCGTAGTAGCTGTGCTAACTTCCTCCTCAGTTTTACTGCAGCTGTGTGAGTGTGTGATTGTGAGAGAGCGGCGTCG